TGATTTTTGGTGTGCCGGCAGAACAATGCGCTACATGTTTCTTTTCCCCTAATTTTTTTCCAATTGATGGAAATCCGTCGTAGCAATGGAAAACAAGCACTTTCGAGGACCTATGTTTGTTTTCAAGTACTTTCCAGGCCTTGAATCCATATGTCTGAAATTCAAGTACTTTCAAGAAGCGTGGGAACCCTGTATGATATATTTAAGGTTCGATTTCTGTCTTTTTTTTTTACTTGACAGCCACAGTATTTACTTTCTTTATATTAAAAAGTGTGGCCAGGATATTCTTCGAAAATGCTCCTTTTGTGTTCCACAGAAGAAAGAAAATCATAGGATTGGAACAACATGAGGGAGTGTAAATACAGACAGCATTTTCATTTCTGGATAAACTATCCCTTTAAAAAAAAATGCAAATGTTGCATATAACACAGATCATTACCTGAAGTACAATACAGCACTGAATGAAGTCATCAAAAGCCACTTGGCTCTTCTTCTGACGGTCAAATTTCTCTATCAGTGTGTTGTAGAACTGATCTGAAAGACGATAACCTGTGCAAAGGGAGAAGTGTTCGAAGTTCAGTGTTTTCCTCAAGGGTGAAATTAATCATTTTCCATCAGTGGTTCCATCAGTTTATTTGTCCTTCCTCTTATTGGTTTTGTGCATCAGTGCCCCTGCCTCTCATTCCTACAGGATTTTCTTTAAACACCTCACCAAACGCATCTATAACCTCCAGCTTTCCATTTATAGCAGTCAATAAGTAAGCATTACAAACTCACCAAAGCCGGTGAGAGCCTGTTTGAGCTCGTTCTTGTCGATAAACCCTGAGTTGTCCCTGTCGTAGGTGCGGAAGATGTTCTGCCAGTCTGAGATGTACTTCCAAACGCCGGCAAATTCATTAAAGTTAACCCCACCTTTGTTCTCCCGATCAAACATAGCTGAAAAGATAGAATTGTGGGAACATTTGGTCACATTTAGTCCTCATTTTATTGATGCTTGGATTTATTGTATTACTTAGAAAATTACTTCACCAGTCACTTAACAATACTATCAAAAACATGTATTATGTTTACAAATCACTGTACATTCATAACATTTTGCCCTGGATTTGAAAAGATTGAGTGCAGATAGAATCCCAAAAACTATTTGAGATGGACAAAAAATTCTGAAAATGTATTCAAGAAAGATCACAATGTTATGGAGGCCATGTGTATCCACTTGAAATGAGCTGAAAGTGATCACCTTATTCTAGAGTTAGGAATCATTACACACAGTCAATTATTATTGACTAACTTTCTTTAGAAAAGGTCTGCCGATTTCTGTTGTTTAAGACAAAAACCTTCCACTTTCTGAGCTACTTCCAAGGCAGATGACAGCTACATTCTTCCAGTTTGAGCTGAAACAACTGAACCTTTCTTAGATAAGTGTGCTAATAGGAAACACTGCAGGTTGTCATGGAGCTCACAAACAAACAGAGGATTGAAAAAGAGAAAAAGACAGCATTGTCTATGGTTTTGTGAATCATAGAATATAACAATACTCACATATAATTGATCTAACAGTCACAGGGTTGAAAGGTGTCCATGTACCTTGGAATGAAACAAAAACATATAACAATCAGTTTCCATATAAAACTAAATTATTAAACCAACAAACAGAAGCTTGACTCCATGTGCCATCAATTCTGTAAGCCAAATGTTGATACATTTATGTCATATTCCAGGTTAAACCCAACATGAAATTACATTCGCAAAACATTTAATTTTTGCAGTGTGACATAAGTGAAATAGAATATTAGATGTTTGCCAACTTTGACGTTTTTAGACATTACAAACGGTTTTATTAGTTTAAAACATATTCTTTAATATAATATAATATAATATATAATATTCTTCATAATTGATATATATTATATAATGTATCCTATATGAACTAGGGATGTTCATTTTAACCGTTTAACCGGTTAACCGAGGGTAAGAATTTTGACCAATTAATACAATCAGTTAAACGGTTTAAAAAGTCATTTAATTATTTATTTTTTCAGTAATTTATCAAAATATTTAAAACGGTTTGCTGCATGGTTAAAATACGCTATGCGTATAAAAAATGTGTTTTTAAGGGGGAAAAAAAACAAGTCGCGTACAAGTCGCATTTTATTATTTCATTCAGAAATAGACCTAATGCCGACGCGAAATGTTTGCAAACATTATAATAAACACTGTAAACATAGCTAGTGTTAGTTCCCCTCACTCCACAACAAATCCTTTCAATTAACAGTATTTAGAAAAGAATTAAATAATTAAAAATATAAGAAGCTATAGCAATATAAATGACAAGCCAAAACGAATTAATTTTGGTTAAAACGAAACTAAAACCAACGTTGGGTCTCTCATTCCACACAAAATCAAATGTTTCCATATCCGCGATGTGTTTCAATGGCAAATTATTATTTATTATGTACTTCACTCACGTTACAATATCCACGTAAAACAAAATGTTTTACATCACGGTGGTACAGTGATAACACTTAACCTTAACGGCTTAACAGATTTTACTACATATTTTTTACTAGGCCTACATATTTTTTTTTTATTACATAGTTTTTTCCATATGTTTGACTGACTATTTTATTATGATAATGAACAGGCTGCATTGTCAAGATAGCAAAGCTTAAGGGCCCTATTTTAATGATCTAAGTGCATGGTATAAAGCGCACGGCGCAGGTGCACTCAGGGCATGTCCGAATCCACATCTTTGGCAAGTTTAACGACGGGAAAATGGTCGGCGCACCCGGGCGCATGGTCTAAACGGGTTGTCCCTATTCTCTTAATGAGTAACGTCTCGGTTACGTATGGTAACGCTCGTTCCCTGAAGGATGACCGACGAAATTGGGATCTCGCTTAGAGAGACCAATCTACTTCGAGTGTAAACTAAATGAGCCAATGCACATTGGGATGCGATTATTGCATCCAGCTGCCGCTGATCACAGCGTGAGTATAAGTAGGCAGCAGATGCAGCGCATATTCAGGTTTTCGCTGAGGAGCCGAGCCGGTGATACAGGAGCTGTGGCGACGGGACGTGACGTCTCCGTTCCCTTCTTCAGGGAACGAGGGTTACCATACATAACAGAGACGTTCCCTTTCAGTCGGTCACTCTCGACGTCACGTCGGATGACCGACGAAATTGGGATCCTACCAAAAGGCCACAGCTACTGCCCCTTCCAGTGTCCTGTGGAAGCCACCTGCGCCCCTACTTTTTGGCGTAGGCCAGGGCTTGCACAAGAGGACCAGCTACTGCTGCTATGGCACTACCCACTGAGTAAGACTGGATAACACTGGGAAAACGTACCCGTTCTACTTGGAACAGGGACGTTACGGAAGCTCCAACCTTCCCGAAGGAGGTTTCGGAAGCAA